GCAGAACAAAATACTTTAAATAGACGAACAGACAGGAAATAGGACCCTCATTCGGGAAGCTGGGACACAGAGGAGGAAGGGTGAGATTTTAGCTCTGATCTCTGACCTCTCAGCTTTCTGTTTTGCATTGTTTCTGTGTTTCTTATTTAATAAGACGGTTGGTTACATCTATAGTAACTGGTTTTTATTAGCATTGCTGTGGGCCATGACAGTCTTAGTCCCTGGTCCTCGAGGTCCCAGGGATTCCCGTCTGTGCAGAGACAGAAGGACAGTACACCCCGGGGTGGAGGACAGAGGCAGGACAAAGTTTGTTCCTTCCCTGCCCCCAGCACGGCTGGCCTCACTTCCCAGCCGCCATCCACACAGTGCAACAGGCTGTGTGAACCAGCCAGGAGAGGGACAGCCCGGCACGCTGACACCAGGTGCCAGGACTCATGGTGTCTTCCACGGCTGCCTGTGGACGGGAATCCTCCTCTCAGGTGGGGGACTGCTTCCTGCAGACAGACTTTGTTGGGTGGTTGGGTGGCTGGAATTGGTGTATGTGTGTGTGTGTGTGTGTGTGTGTGTGTGTAAGAGACACACAGGAAGAAAGAGAGGCAAGGCAGAAATAAAGCAGACACCAAAGGCGTTGACAAAAAGAGACCAAAATGAAAAAGATTGGAAGGCCAGAGGGAAATATCTTTCTCCTGATAAGGGAGAGAGATGGGGAAAGACAGCGAGGGAGGAGAAAGGATGGGAGGGAGGGAGAGAGAAGGGGAAGGAAAGAGAGGAGGAAGGGAATGATGATGAAGGAAATGAGGACAGAGAGGGAGAGAAAAAGGAGAGAGAGAGAGAGAGAGAGAGAGAGAGAGAGAGAGAGAGAGAGAGAGAACCTGGCAGAGACAGATGAATGGGAGTGGGACAGGCAGGATTGTCCCGAGCCCTAGTGGTCCACACATCAGTGTGGAATGGATATGAGATTCACATTTAATGAACATTTGAGATGAAAGTGGCTGGATAGATGGGTCTACAGCTTTTGGTTTGTTTGTTTGTTTGATTTTGCACTTGTGCAACTTTGAGGACCAGAGTTCTGATCCCAGAACCATGTAACAAGCAAGACATGGGCTCAGGCAAGCCTGTAACCTCAGCAATGTGGGAGGAAGACAGAAGGGTCTCTGGGGCTTGTTGGCTGCCAAGAGAAGAAGAATGCCCTCCAGACTCAGGGAGAGACCTTGCCTCAAAAAAATAAGGTGGAGAGAGACAGAGGAAGATAGGTGGTGACCTTTGGCCTATGCATGCATAGGCAAGAACACCCATGGCTGGACAGACTTCGGGTCTTCTCAAGAGGCTGGGTTATCAGCTGTGTATCAGTCTCACTGTAGGGTGTGCTGTCTCCCGGTGGAGACCAAAGCCAGGAGAGAAGAAGGAAGCAGAAAGACACGTCAGTGCCTTTCCCTAGAGGTTCTTCTCCATCTAGGCGGGTTGGTGACGAGGTCCACTTTTGGCTCATTCTCTCCTGCGGCTTCCTTCACTTAGGAGACACTGGAACTATCTTTACTCCCATTTGGCAAGAGGGACACTGGAGACCCAGAGGGAGAGAGTCACTAGGCCACATAGGTAACAAGGCTGGGGTTGAAACCCTCTGGGCCGGTGGCCCTCACCCCTAACTGTGTCGGAAGCAGAGTAGTACAGACATGGAAAGAGCCGGAGCCATCACTGTGACTGAGTGCTAGTGAGGAAGCATTGCGTTTGTGTCTTGTGATAACAATCAAACCTCTGGGGTTGTGCATGCTAAGAAAACATTCTACTACTGAGCCACACCCCAGCCCCCCACTGGGGGATTCTAGGCAGGGGCTCTACCACTGAGTCACACCCCAGCCCCTCACTGGGGGATCCCAGGCAGGAGCTCTACCACTGAGTCACACCCCAGCCCCTCACTGGGGGATTCTAGGCAGGGGCTCTACCACTGAGCCATGATCCCAGCCCCTCACTGGGGGATTCTAGGCAGGGGCTCTACCACTGAGCCACACCCCAGCCCCTCACTGGGGGATTCTA